ACCCCATAATTGTAGAAATGATTCTGAGCTTGGTGCAGGTGTTTTGCACTGCTTCTTCCTTTGGTTGTCTTCGACACTGTGCCTCTGTGGGAAAAAGCTAAACTTGCTCTAACCTGGGACATGAAGGTCGCTGCAGGCAAGTGTATAGCTGGGCCCAGACGATGTCTTTGCAAGGCCCTCCCCAGGGGTGGAAAGGGTTACAGCGCAGCACTATGGAGCTAGAAGCAGCCACTTCAGCATGAGCTCAATCCCCGACCAAGGAGAGACCCACATTGCGCATCAGACTTCTCCTGCCTCCCTGCTGCTCCCCTCAGCAATGCACTTCATAAATCTGCCTGTTTTGCTCCCCACTCTGTCTCTGGTGACTCCGCTCAACCCTGTACCCCAGTTCTGTATGCACAAATAAATAAATCTTAAAAAAAAATAAGATGTCTTTTGCTCGAGGACTGTCCAGACTGCAAGTGAGTTCGTGAGGTGGCGTCGGCCACAGCTCCACGCTCTCCATCTGGTCACGTCACGCCTATCACAGCACCCCTGTACTAACGCACCCCACCTGCTGGGGTCACACCCAGGCCAGACGGACACAAGGTGCTGCCCTTTGCCTGGCCCAGCGCCTCAGGAATGAGGACACGACCTGCCTGGAAGCTCCCGGTAGGTAGCACCCCCCCTGCCTCCTTCCCGGCTCCGTCCCGGGCCTGGCTATTGTAGCAGGAGAAAGAACAGGGAGAAGAAGAATTTGGGGCAACTTAGGGAGGCCCAAAGCCTCCTTGCATGCCCCTCACCCCACAGGGCCTGACGGAGCAGAGTTGGGTCCCCGCCTCTCTGTGAGGGAACCTGCAGTCCCCATGTGCCCGGCAGCCTTGGCCCTCACGCAAGGACCAGAGCAGATGCCAAGAAAATGAAAAAGCCCTTTGAGCTTGTTATCCACTTTATATTTACAGACACGAAGATAATAGGTCACCGCCTGGCACATGCCAACACCTATGTTGGCATTTATTTAAAAAGGAAAACCACTCTATGGAAATTAAAATGGAGGTTTTCACTTTATCTCCTTTTTCCTTCAGGCCCTCTGACAAACTGAAGTATCTGTTAGTTTCTAGACCACAATTCAATAACTCAAGGAAGGTTTGCAAAGACCGTCCTCGCTGGCAAAACACTTTCCACTGAGGGAGAACATTCCCCAGACATGCAGGGGCCTGTCGGAGGGAGCTCAGGGCTCTGTTCTGAGAATCTCTCCGCCAACCTCCAGCTAACTCTGAGAGATGGGGCTAAAACTGCTCCCCAGGGGTCCTCCCTCATTTGCCACACCCCTTCTGCCCAAGCCCAGCCAGCTTGAAGGGACAAGTCCCGCTCACACGGCCTCTCCATGAAAACAGGCCCTTTCCTGCCACACGGCCAGCTCCTGATCTCCCAGCACCAGTGGGGGACCCCCAGTGGGGGTCATGACACGTGCAGGGGGCGCACAGTCCGAAGGAGCCAAGAGACCTACTTGCTGGACACAGGCTGGAGGCATAACCGATGGACACAGGGCTGGGTGAGAGTCAAACAGGGCCCAGAGAAGGGCGACCAGCGTCTGTACCGGGAATTCGTGAAACTCTTGCACAAGGAAACTCAACTCCAAGGAGTGAGGACCACTGTTGTCCTGACCCAAATGATGACGACTGTCTCAGAGCCCGCCGGAGCTCCAGCCCAGCTGCCCACGCGTCTCTTTCAGACGTGGGGTCGAACGGCCCTACTGAGGCTGGGTGGGGCCCCAGTCACAAAGGCGGCCTTGGTCCCACCTGGCTGTGAGGAAGGGAGGTGTGGCCAGCTCCCTAGTCCTCCTTGGGGCCAGGCTCTGTGAGGCTGTAATCCCAGGACTCCAGCTGAGATCAAAGCAGGGGCCCCGAGTCAGAATGGGGTTAGGAGTCCTGCTGGCCTTGAGCAGCGGCAGGGGAATTCTTCCCCCAATCCTCCCCACGGCCAGGGCTTTGTGGAGAGTTTCTGGGGCTGGCACACGCCTGCCAGATCTGGCTCTACGTGCTCCCAATGGGGCTGCCAGTGAACGGGTGACTCACGCCTCAACTATTGCTCCCCACTGCTGTGCTGAACACACATGGAAGATATGCAGAACGTGGTCAGGAAGCGTTTTCCTCTCCTGGAGGGGGATGTGCTGGCCGGGGCAGGCCTGGGGGCTGCTAGTGGTCTCAGGAGCCAAGCGTTCTCGGGGTGAGGGGTCAGAGGACCCGGCCTGGAGGGAAGTCCAAAACGTGAGACGTCGGGAGCACTGTCCTCAGAGGGCGCACAGTCCGAAGGACCAAGAGACCTACCTGCTGGACACCGGCCAGACACAACAGATGGGCAGGACTCGGGCACAGCATCGGGCCAGGGAAGCCCCACGCAAAACCTGAGGGCAGGGCAGAGGGAGGTGTGTTCATATCTGTTGACTTAGTTTTAAAGTAAGTTCACTGAGCATTTTTGGGGTGCAAGGCTGCCCCACGCAAAACCTGGGGGGAGGGCAGAGGGAGGTGCACTCATGTCTGTCGACTTAATTTTAAAATAAGTTCACTGAGCATTTTTGGGGTGCAAGGCTGGACTGAGTGTACAGCGAGGTAAAGGTGAGCCCGACGTGCATCCTGACCTTGGAGACCACGCTGTCTGGCGAGGGTTTGAGGACGGTTTCTATGAAATAGCGTCCAGATAGAGACATTCCACACGTGATGTCTACACCTGACATCCTCCGGTGAAGACACACGGGTGACGGCAGACTTGCCTAATCCTCACCCCGGCCGGGGACACCTGGGCTAACCCTGGCCCCTGCCTGCTCTGCATGGCCGTCTTTGTCCCATGCACCCCCACATTTTGGAGGCACCAGGCACTCTTGTGCCCCTCAGTAGGGCCCTGTAGCCCTGCACGGTCTTCTGCTCCTGGGGAGACGATGCCCACAGAAACTAAGTGACATGCCCTGCCAAGTCTTGGTAACTCCCTCTGAGGGGTGCCTGGAAGAAAAGCAAAAGCTTGGGGTGCTCCTGCCACAGTGGAATTCCAGGCTGGGGTGGGGCTCTCCCCCACGGGGGTGGCAGGCTGCAGGGCCCCATTACTTATACCTGTCCAGGGCTGGCCTGGCAGAGGGGCTGCCCTGCCCGCCTGGGGGAGGGGGTCCCACAGAGCTTGGACAGAACGTGCCGCTACCCCTGTCCGCTCCAACAAGGCACCCAAACACTCCCCGCCACAGTGCCCTGGCCCCCGCACACCCTCAGTCCCTGGCATCTGAATCCGAGCTTGGCACGTGACAACAGTTCTCAGACTGACCAGAGAGCATTCCTGCACCCCAAGTCCTTCTCCCACAGCTCAACTGGGAGGAGGAGGAAGCCGGAGAGGAGAATGCGCCAGTGTCTCGGGAAGGGTGGGGCTTTGCCCGAGGGCAGTGGGGACCGGACCCTGGACCTGCGTGGGGGTACCCTGATGGTGACCTTCCATGGAGAGGGAGGCCTTGTGCTGCGAGCCCCCACACTGACTTCAAGCTGGATCTGTTTGAACAGGGACTGAAGGCCCCCCACTACGCTCAGGGCCCCCAAGCCACGCTTATCTGTTCCCCAAGAGGCTGCAAAGTATGACATTGCTGAATTCAGCAACTTCATCTCTGAGGGTCTCAGTTCTCCAGACAGGGAGGCAGCCTGAGCCTCGTTGTCCGAGACCTACACGCTCTGACCAGAGCGACCGGCCTGTCTGCATTTGCCTGTCTGCGGCGTCCTCACCCAGCCTCCGAGGAGCACCCACCTCTCGCCTGATCCCCAGAGGCTCAGAGTCACTTTCCCACAGTCTTGACTTCCTGGTGGCCAACCACAGGCCTGGCGAGAGATCCCTGGGTTTCTCAGGCTGGCTGCTTTTGCTCTTGGGAGTGCACTCCTGAACCCCGAGGCTTTAGACCCTCCCCCACTGCACCCCTACCTCCAGCCCCAGCCTGGTGTGCTCCCGATGGCCCTGAGCACTGTCCCCCCCTCCCCCGGCACAAGTCCTGCTGCTGGTGTGTGAGGGTGGGCAGAGACGTGGTGATGCTGAGGCCAACGGGCAGGTGTGGCAACACCCAGCCAGGCCCCTCTCCCGCGCCTGCGCCACGGCCCCCCTGGACAAGCCTCCCCTGGGCTCTCGGAGAGGATCGGGGGGCCCCCAGAGGGCACCGTGGTGAACTGGTGCCCGACTATTCTCACGACTTAGAAAACCATCCATTTTCGATTCCCTTGGCCCCGAAGGAGAAGTTGGGCTGCAGCCGAAAGAAAGCACAGCCATTCCCGCTGCTCGGAACAGGCCGGCTCCCCGTTATAACAGGCCGGCGGATTCTCAACATGTTCCCGATGAGATTAGGAGCTCCCGCAGGTATGTGTTTGTGGCCGCCCGCAGCCTGTATCAACAGATTCGATGACTCATTTCTTCCGTGGAGTAACTGAGGGCTTGCTGAAACACACCTGGGGGCTGGCGGGGATAGAGGAGCTCCCCCTGAAGAGAGACGTGACTGGCGGCTGAGTGTCAGGACTACCTGTGGGCTTCCCAGGGGGCCCAGGAGTTGCTGAGCCACCTCCTGCCCCGGGCCCTACCCAGGCTGAAAGCAAAGGAAAAAGCCAACCGCGAGACAGCGCCGAAGCAGGAGGAGCTGTGGCTGGCTGAGGTGGAGGGTCCCGCATTCTCTGTTTTGGGAGCCTGGGGCTCGCGGGGGGGCGCTTTCTGGCCTTAATCTTGCAGGAGCATTTGCCCAGAGGGCTTTGGAATAGCTGTGCCTCCCCCCCAAGAAAGGCAAGGAGCAGTAAAGAAGGAAACATATCAGGCTACGCGTCGCCGTTCCAAACACCGAACTCCCTGCACGGGGCCCGGGCTGGAGGAGAGTGAGAAGAGCAGGTCGTGGCCAGGGGCAGGGTCTGCCGGCCACCATGCTGACCCTGGCCCCGAAAGGATCCTTGAGGACACTGGTCAAGGGCCCCTGGCTGCCTGGCATCCCTCTGGGGCAGGTCGCCGCCCGGGGTCCCCTTGCTAGAAAGCACTGGCTGCCAAGACATCAGTGCTGCGAGGCAGGGTTATTCCTCACTGAGCGGAGCCTGCCAGGAAGAAAGAGTTTGCGCCCTGCACACTGCAGGTGTGACGGTGAGCTCACAGCCGCCCCCAGGCATGCCCAGCCCACTTAATCACTCCAGCCGGCAGTGCCCCCGCCCAGCCCATTCTGGAGGATAAAAGGGGGCTGCCCTCCAGGCCCAGAGCCACCCTCTGCACCCTGCTGAGCTCTGTTCTCTCCAACCGCCAAGCCCCTGTGTCCAGCTCGCGCTCCGCCGGGAACGAGCCGTCATGTCTCGCCAGTCCAGCGTGTCTTTCCGCAGCGGGGGCAGCCGTAGCTTCAGCGCTGCCTCCGCCGTCACCCCGTCCGTCTCCCGCACCAGCTTCACCTCCGTGTCGCGGTCCGGGGGTGGCGGGGGTGGCTTCGGCAGGGTCAGCGCCGGGGGTGCTTGCGGGGCCGGTGGCTATGGCAGCCGGAGTCTCTACAACCTGGGGGGCTCCAAGAGGATCTCCATGAGCGCCAGCGGGGGCAGCTTCAGGAACCGATTCGGGGGTGCTGGCGCCGGCGGTGGTTACGGCTTCGGCGGGGGCGCGGGCAGCGGATTTGGCTTCGGCGCTGGAGCAGGGGGCGGCTTCGGGCTCGGTGGGGGAGCTGGCTTCGGCGGCGGCTTCGGGGGCGCCGGCTTCCCCGTGTGCCCGCCCGGAGGCATCCAGGAGGTCACCGTCAACCAGAGCCTCCTCACGCCCATGAACCTGCAAATCGACCCCACGATCCAGCGGGTGCGCACCGAGGAGCGCGAGCAGATCAAGACCCTCAACAACAAGTTCGCCTCCTTCATCGACAAGGTGAGGCATGTTACCGTGCGCGAAGCCGCTGGGAGTCTGCAGGAAATGCCAAAGAAGTGGGAAGGGGGGAGCGTCTGACTTTGTGCAAATGCCCTCGCCTCTGCAGGGGGGTGCTGCCGTCTGTCTGTGTCCTGCACTGGTGGCCCATTTTCTTAATTAGACCAGCATCTTGGGGGGAGGGTTTTGCTTCTTTCCCTCCAGAGATCACCCCCTAAGGGCTCCTTGATGACTGCTGGCAAAGAGATGCCTTCTGGGCTTCATGCAATGGGCCGGTTGCACAGGGAGATGAGGTCACGCTGCCCGGGTGTCTGCGGCCCCTGGCACACAGAACCCCCACAGAGCAGGGCCAGCATCGCCTGTGCCCTGGGAAGGGTCCTGCCTTCCCTGGAAGTGAGGCTGTAGAGCTCACTCGGGACCGCCCCGCCCAGGGCCCGGGATGGGGGAAAGTCCAGTCTCGATCTTCAAACTCTCCCATCAGGTGCGGTTCCTGGAGCAGCAGAACAAGGTCCTGGACACCAAGTGGACCCTGCTGCAGGAGCAGGGCACCAGGACCGTGAGGCAGAACCTGGAGCCCCTGTTCGAGCAGTACATCAGCAACCTCAGGAGGCAGCTGGATGGTGTCCTGGGCGAGCGGGGCCGCCTGGACTCCGAGCTCAGGAACATGCAGGACCTGGTGGAGGACTTCAAGAACAAGTGAGTGAGGAGGGATGGAGATGGGGTGGGGGTGACTTCTTGAGGCTGATCTTTCACATTCAGACTTTTGCTTACGTCTTTGCCATGAGCTCAAGGCATGTACCTTCCACAAAGCCTGAAATATTAAAAAATAATAATAATCCAGGTCCATATTTAGAAGGTTCCAGCCCCTGGCTCCACCCCTCAGCCAGGCACTCAGCCAATGCCCTCAAGAGCCATCCAGTGCCCTGGGTACCACCCAGTGAAATAATAGAGACCTCAGCCTTTGGGGCTCTCCTCTCTCCACCCCCCAGTATGCTCACTGCTCTGCAGTGGACTGCCCCCCCAAAGCAGGGACAGCCAGCATCACCCAGCTCAGTGGCTCTGATCATGTCAATAAACCAGCGGCTGAGCGACTGGTTTTGGCTTGCTAGCTTGTTATAGGCTGTGGAAGCTGAAAAATGCACTAGACAAACAGACTAGACGTGAGGCCTGGAAGAAAAACACAGCTTTTCTGCAGGAATATTCTGGAAACCACCAAATTATAGCAACAGTAGAATGATTCAGGGCAGTGTTCGAGGGACATGTCCCGATGGTGAGGACCTCGCCAGGGGTTCGCGCTGCCAGGGCCCTCCCGCTCTGCCCGTAGGCCAGGAAAAGTCCCCTCCCAATAGGAAAGTAGCCTCAGGGTTGACGTGACGCACTGAAGACCCCCGGCTCCCCATCTGCATCCTCTGACAAGCACTGGTTCCTTGTACCACCAGGTATGAAGATGAAATCAACAAGCGTACCACGGCTGAGAACGAGTTTGTGATGCTGAAGAAGGTGCGTGGGGACAGGACACTGGTAGCCAGAGGCCACTCTCTAGAAGGCTTTCATTTAGGTCAGGGCGGAAGTCGGGGGGCAGTGCCAACCATCTCTGTGTCCCCAGGACGTGGACGCCGCCTACATGAACAAGGTGGAGCTGGAGGCCAAAGTTGATGCGCTGATGGATGAGATCAACTTCCTGAAGATGTTCTTCGAGATGGTAAGCGACGGTCCTGCGTCAAGGCCCAGAGAGAGGTGCCTGGGATTCCCCAGCACCAGGGATGAGGATCAGGGTGACTGAGTGTACCCAGACTACCCCAGTGCTCCCTCTGTCTCTCCCTTTAGTATTGCTGCACTTCATTCCTTACAAGGCTGATTTTTTTTTAAAGATTTATTTATTTGTACATACAGAATTGGGGTACAGGCCAGAGGCTCAGGGGCGGTGAGAGGCTTCACCAGAGACAGAGTGGGGAGCAGAACAGGCAGATCGACGAAGTACACTGCGGAGGGGAGCAGCGGGCGGTCAGGAGAGGTCTGCCGCGCCATGTGGTCACCTCCGGGGCAGGCGGGAATCGAACTCATGCGGAAGTGGCTTTAGCTTCTCAGTGCTGTGCTTTAACCCGCTGCGCCACCAGGGAGGGCCTGATTTTGTTTGTTTTATTTTAAGTGAAATTTAAATCAAAAGACCTGTGCATCCATTGCTTTGTAGATGGGGATTAATATGAGTGGCCAGAGGCAGGCCGCTCCATGGAGGCCCCTCTCTCTCTGAAGACCCTTGCTGGCCCTGCTTCCTCTCAGGGAAGGCCACTCAATGGGTCTTTGAGATAAGTTATGACCAGGCCCTCCCTGGTGGTGCAACAGGTTAAAGAGTAGCAGCACAGGGAATCCATCTGCTGCTACTGCTGTGGACCCCCGGCCAGGGAGTGACCCACAGGGCGCAGCAGACCCCTCCTGTCTCCCCGCTGCTCCCCTCAGCAGTGTATTTCAGTCCATCTGCCTGTTCCGCTCCCCACTCTGTCTCTGGTGAGTCCTCTCATCCCCAGTACCTCAGAAGTGGCCTACATCCCAATTCTTACAGGCAGAAATAACTAAATCTTAAAAAAATAAATTATGGCCCAAGCACCCCTTGGGCCATAATTTCTTGGCTGCTCAGAATTTTTAAAACCTTGGTCCAGTAGTTTGGATTATGTGCTCCCCTAATGTTTTGGCATAAGTGGTCATCACTTTTCCTCCAGTTGACATACCCTAGTGAGGGGGAGACGGGGGCTGAGATTACCTAACCAGAACCAGATGACTGACTTCGAGCTTCCCTGCAGGAGCTGTCCCAGATGCAGACCCACGTCAGCGACACGTCCGTGGTCCTGTCCATGGACAACAACCGCTGCCTGGACCTGGACAGCATCATCGCCGAGGTCAAGGCCCAGTACGAGGACATCGCTAACCGCAGCCGGACGGAAGCTGAGTCCTGGTACCAGACCAAGGTGGGCGCCATGCGAGTGTGTCCCGAGGGGGGGAGGGACGTGTGCCTCGGGCAGGGGCTGTGGGTGCTGCTGAAACCTGGGGCCTCCTGAACGAGTCCTAGACGCAGTCACGTGTGCTTCTGCCACGTGCATTCAAGAACCTTCGGGACTTGGCTCAATCAGGATCTCTAGGAAGGCGCAAGTGCCAAAGTGGAATCCTTTCTCTTTCTGGGGGCGCCAGTACGAGGAGCTGCAGCAGACGGCCGGCCGGCACGGGGACGACCTCCGCAGCACCAAGCAGGAGATCTCCGAGATGAACCGGATGATCCAGAGGCTGCGGGCCGAGATCGACAACGTCAAGAAGCAGGTGGGATGAGGCTGAACGGAGGCCAGGGAGAGCCCAGCCCAGAAAGGAACCTACATTTGTACTTTTTCTAGACACACACCCAGAGCAGTGGAACAAACACACACGTCTCAGTGGCCCACCACCCACAATGACAAGACAGATATACTGGCTTGCGTCTGAATCACAGAGACACTGCAGGCCCAGTTTAATGCCAAAACAGCTCACCCGCCCTTCCTCTGTCCCCCCAGTGCGCCAACCTGCAGGCCTCCATCGCCGACGCCGAGCAGCGCGGGGAGATGGCCATCAAGGACGCCAAGGGCAAGCTGATCGAGCTGGAGGACGCCCTGCAGAAGGCCAAGCAGGACATGGCGCGGATGCTGAAGGAGTACCAGGAGCTCATGAACACCAAGCTGGCCCTGGACGTGGAGATCGCCACCTACAGGAAGCTGCTGGAGGGCGAGGAGTGCAGGTGGGCAAAGGACAGACCCCAGGAGGGTCTCACACCTGGCAGGGGGACCGCGCTTCCCTACACACTCACAGCCACACGTGCTCACGCACGCACACCCCTATCTTGTGCACGATCACGTCCGTCGCCAGTCCCGTTTCAGTCTGACACGGCACAGAGCTGGCCTTGCAACTGACCACAGCTCACCTTTCTGACCCTGTTCCCACCAGCAGTGATCCTGGATGCTGCTGCCTGTCCTTCACCTAGCCAGGCAGCGCAACTAATGTCCTCCCTACTGTTCAAGCGCCCCCTCTCTCAGGAAGCCTTTCAAGACTACTCTAGTGGAGTCCACTCATCTGCCTCTGGCCTCTCCAACTACCTGGTTTTCTTTGCTCTTGCAACACTGCCTTCTGTCTACTGCCACAAGAGGTATTTCTGTGCTTGCCAAGTTCTCGCATAGAATTAGTTCCTACACTGCAAAATGTGCTTCATACATATTCATAGTTCCCGCTGCCTCTTAGTCATGCTTTTCACGTAATGGGTGGAGGAGGATGTGAATTCTAATCTGCCTTGGACAACTTATTTCTAGATCACATCCTCTCCATCCAGAAGTCCCCACGGGGCTGTTTCTTCCACGGTTTCAGCAGTTGTTCCGACATGTAGGCTCCTGGCTTGGAGAGCAAGCCCTAGCCACGGCTGTGGGAGTTAGCCCCATTTTTTAACGCGTTTCAATTTTTCCTCTTTCAGGCTGAGTGGAGAAGGAGTCGGACCAGTCAACATCTGTAAGTAACTGAACAGACGTTAACGATGATGGTAATGGGGGCCGCTGATGCCGGTGCAGAACCCGGCTGTCCCCAGACACCTGACGCCCCATTACCCGGTGACTGAATGCACCCAGCGGGCAGCAGAGGGAAGAGGCCGAGCGGCTCGTGTGTGTGGTCAGCTGGAGTCCGCTGGGGGGTGCCCACGGCACCCCTCCCGCCAACCGTGCTCCCGCACACACGGCCCCCCGCTCTGTTCCCCAGCACCTTAACTCAATGTCTTGGCTCTCTGGGCCCCTTTGCCGCACTGTGGGGGCGCGGGGGCGCCTCTGTCACCAGCAGATCACATAAGCGGC